ACATACATACATACATACATACATACATATATATATATATATACAGTCAAACTAAAATTTATTCAGACACCTTCAACATTTCACACATTATTACAGTATATTTGCTATAGTTTAGAAAATGGTAATAAAATATGACAAAAACTCAGAGTTAAACTCTGTCAGAACAAATTAATCTTGATAATGTCAGATAACGCTTAAGCAAAACATGGTCAGGTCAAAGTGTCCGAATAATTTTTGGTCCCAAATTTTTATCAATTTTACTGGTAGTCCACTGTATGAAGAATTTTTGGGTATAATATGTCACAGTTTACTTTATTTTGCTATCCTCACTTACATAAATGTACTATAGCATCCTGCACCCACCAGTAAAAAAAATATCAAAAATTATATCTGGTGTCTAAATAAATTTTGGTTTGACTGTATATATTGACTGATAGCTCATACCATGCATCCAAGTTTCCTGACACCTTTACCTCAAACATTTTTGTTGCATCCATATGTGGACTACTTTTACCATAGGGAAATTCCACCAAAATTAGGATCTGTTATTTTCCAGTTCATGTCTGATACACTACTTACATTTTCCCCTTCTCCCACCCACTACCCCCATACATGTGTTTTAGCACTTTTAGCAGGTTCAGGCGTGCTGGAAATGTCAAGAGTCCCGGAACGCACACTGGCACACCCTTGTGCGTTCCATAACACACATGCCTGGCTTCTTTTCATCTACTTGAGACACTCCCAGGTTTATGGACTGGTAGAGTGAAGAGCCAAATCTGATAAAAAGCACTTTCACATTCAGTCACACTAAAATAAAGTCCAACGTACCTTTGTTTTGTCTCTGTTCTGCTTGTTCAGTAGATTTTTCTCAGCAGTGTTTTGTTTGAAGTCATCCGATCGCAAATCCAGCATGGATTGAGAGAAGCGGGCCATCATGTTAAGCGCATCAGGGCTATGGTCTCCAACACGACCAGAACCCGTTAACCTTCCATTAGGGAGTTTATCACTGCTGTCGGAGTCAGTACATTCATAGTATTCATCTGACGTTGTGGAATTCTCATCTTTATCCTTTAATGAATGTGCACAGGTCACAGCGGTGCTGTCAGCATCGTTGTCTCGAGTGTCCATGTTTGCATCTTTTGTCTGGTTTTCCTCCCTTCTGACTAAAGTGACCTCTGGGTCTTCAGAGCCTTCCGGTCTATTAACCACCAACTGAAGGGTGCGTGGCTTGGGCACAGGCATTTCTGAAGCCTGCTGCACCTCTGCTGGTTCAGGGTTGGACTCCTGCTCTTGTGGAGGAGGGCTGGGTTTGGGGTCTTGTTGCTGGATTGGAGGGCTTGGTGAATGGGATGTATTGGCCGGTATATCTTGATGGGCATTACTAGAGTTAGTCTCTGCCTGAGGTTGGGTGATTGATTGAACATTTGCATCTACAGCAGCTGTTTTAGACAATTCTTTTGTTTTAGGACGAGGACTTGCCTTATCTGGTAACGGTTCCTCAGGTGGGGCAGTGAAAGGGTCTTTAAAACGGATTGCTTGAGATGTTTCAAACATTTGAGAGCGCATTAAATGCACCTGCGCTGGCTTGCTTGTATCACGGATATTAATAAATCCAATAACATCACTGGGTGGGTCTGGCTCTGGCCAAGTGGGCAAGTAGGGAATGAGATCTGCCTTTAGCAGACCTACAAGTCCTGGGTGCTTTTGCGGTCCTTCCCTCGTTTCCCGTTGAGGCTTGGGAATCTGGACCATAGGATTCTTGGAGTTACTGTTCTTGGCACTAGCCTTGTCTGAAGAGGCTTTGCTTGCTGCATCTACATTAACCAATGCATATTTGGGGTTCATTAATTTTCTTGCAACAGTTACAGGAACAGGGGAAGGAACGGCAATTGGGACAGGGTCAGGCTCCGGAGGGTCTGCCAATGGGATCTTAGTTAGGTTGACCCCACGAGAGTTCAGGTATAGTTCACGGAACTGCTTGTCAAAAGTTTCAACGGCCTGTCCTGTCAGGACTGTAATGATATTGCGGTCCAAACGAGAAGCGGTCCATGTAAAACTAAAACATAAAGATGCCGTAAATCAGAAAAGTGGACAAACAAATAACATGCACATTTAAGCTAGCAACTCAAGATATCTTAGTATTGAGATACTGAGATGACTATTTTTCTTTCAGTTGTGTGACAATAGCTCAATCACTAGTTGTCTTGTTCTTGTTTTGTCTGTTCACACTTCCCTTTTCTTTTTGCATTCTGGCATTTCATGCCATATGGTTTATTAGGCCTGTCTTGTGATTTGATTATTGTTTGACTAGTCATTTTTTAACACCGCTTCTAGTTTGATTCTTTTGTTGCCTTGTTACTCCCTTGTAAATTTTTATCTTCTAATTTGCCATTGTGTATTTAATCCATTTCCATGTTCTCTATCAGGTGTTTGGGTGAGATTAGTGAAGTTTCTAGTTTACTTAAGACCTTTCCTGCTTTGAGTTTTGTTTATGGTTTTTGAGAGATGCGCTTCATTATTAAAAACGTTAACAATTTTTCCCACAACCAGTTGAACTTGCAATTCAAACTATATCACTCGGTATATATATTTACAGTCCAGTGAGACTGACTTGTCTTTAAGAAACACAGCTTTATGTATACAGTATGTACAATACATACACACATTAAAGTGCACAAAACAAACCTGTATGATCCAGACACTGCACGGTCTCCATCCACAAACATGAATTTCTGACTCAACGAGCCATGCACCTTCTGAGCAGAGTGTGTGTAGAATTCGGAACCACCGATGCATCTCACCCGCAGATGCTACAAACACAAATTGTTATTCATACACAAACACACTCAAACTACATCTTTTCTAATTTTAAGAACTCAAAACCGTCTACAGAACAGACATTAATACATGTGTCTTCAACTCACATTGAGGTGTCCTTTGTGCATGTTGGCTCTCTCACACATAAGTAGGAAGTGCTGTAAAGCTGCATAATCTATAATAATGTATATAGCTACTTTCTTTTTAAATCCAGCCTCTATTAGATCCTTAAAAATGTCAACGTCTGTGAAAACGTCCATTACCACAGCAATCATCTGCAAAAACACAAATGATTTTGTATTATTTCTCAGTATACAAATTACTATACACAACAGGTCATATTCCAATTCCAATTCTATTGTGAGCACAAAACAACTCCTACACACCGTAAATCTGTTGTACTGCACCTATTAAGCCCTACATCTCGTTATAAGCTCTCATTGTGTGAAATGTCTTTGGATAAAGGAATCTCTTTGATTGAGTATTTGAGTGAGTAAGTGTGTGTGTGTGTGTGTGTGTGAGAGAGTAAGTGTGTGTGTGTGTGTGTGTGTGTGTGTGTGTGTTAAAGAGAGGGGGAGGAAGAGAATTTCTGCAGGTATGTTACTGGCCGAACTTCTGGGTTCAAGCTTTAGCAAGTTCTAACAAGCCAAATGAGTCAGTTGGAAACCAGTAAGACTGTGAAACGTGATGATGAATATTTGCTCATTCAACATGTTTAGTCTATTTTCTACTAAACTCAATTAATTCCTAACATTTCCAGGTTATCTTTTTAAAAATTAATCAGCTTGTAGAAAAAGAGTTGTGTTGAATAGTGCGTGTTGACATACATAAGCATAGTAGCTGTTTTGCTTAGTTAGAGCTGTATCCACCTATTAGTTTAATATTCAGTATTTGCATTAGTAGCCTACTCAATCATCTCCATGATGCTGTCATTGATTATTGCTATTTATAAACATTACAATTTTAATTTATAAATGTCTAACATTCAGCATATTAAAGACAAATATTAAAGAGCCAAACCATAATTCTTTTTAGTAACTTAAAATAGTTTAATATTTTTGACCAAAAAGTGTTTTACACAGAGGAGAACTTTTTGAGGTCGACAAATAAATAACTATTTTTATTCTATAGTTATTTGTACTTATACGCAGTTCTGAATAAACTGTAATGAATCATTATATATTTATTCGTTTTACATAAGTTCAAAAATGTTTTCAAACAACGTTTCAATAAACACAAGAAACTACTAAAAGTTAAGAGTGTGTGAGCAGAAACCGCTTTCACATCAGGTAGCCATAGCAACCCATCGCTGCTTCAGCGTTTTCCAGCAGTTTTGGACGTCACCGCAAAAATAAGAGAACACTGACATTATTTAACAGTTTAGTTAAGTTTTACACATCACATAGATATCTCGTGGCTAAGATAGTTGACATTTGGCTTACTGCGCTAAAAGAAAATTGGGTTGTGTACAATATTGTGCACTGACAATTGCTGACAGAAATTACTTTTAAAAAATCGACCCTCTGAAAGTCACAGAATAGCCTACACAAAAGAACAGTTTGAGAGCGTTTTTAACGGTGTTTCTGTGGCGGACTGACCATACAATGCTTTTCAAGTTCCTCTAGTTTACCCACCTTCTGTGCTTGCGCTATGGCCTTTCTCACAACCTCTTTTATATGCGTCTGTCCGTCCACTGGCGGTTGCGTGTAGACATTGACGCGCGTCACTCCTCGGTAAGAATTGCAGTCTGGCCATCCGAGGTCTAGATTCGGTATGGAGATATCAGAGCGGTCCGGCCAGTACTGCAAAGACACCGCACCGTCCTCTCCCTCCGTTGTACCGTCTGGTTTTTGATGCTCAGAACCGGGTTTATACTCTTCTATGCTCCGACGCAACCGCTCGAGTTCGGGTTCCGACAGGAAAGGACGCAGCTCGTGCTCTTTCATATAGGCGTCAAACGCGTCGCGTCCTTTCGTAATAAGCGCTTCAAGCGCGAGCCGCTGATTCTCGCTGTAAAAAAACTCCGGTTTGGATTCATTTAGACGCCAGTTCACATGATTGTTATCAAGACACTGAACCTGAGAGAGAGCCATGGCGTTTCCACACACAATCCGAATTAGTCGATAGAAAGCGGATTCTTAGTTCTTCTTCTTATAATTTGTTCGTATTAGTTTATAAAGTTAAGGCCCACTATAATCCCAGAAAAGTAGCCTATATAAATTATTCGTAGTTTTTTTTCCTCTCAGTTAACTGCTAGAAAAAAAATCATCTTGCGATCGCGGTAAAAGCGTTTCCATGGTAAAGTGACACCAGGCGATTCAATCGATTTTTTTGTGTTGTCAAATAAAGCGGCTCAGCGATAACTTAAGCACCAAAAAGCACGTTTTTCCATAGAAATAAAGGAGATGTTTTTCTTAAAGATATAAAAGATGCCTCATGTTATTTGATCATGTTTCCCCGAGCAGAGTCCCAGTTAAATACAGGACGCAGTTGACCGCTGAGCAGGAGATCATCTTTCAGTTAACCAACAGGTAGAATAGAACAAAGCATCTCCACAGGCTCTAGCGAACAGACACACCTCAGTCACCTGACCAGGAGGGGCACTAACCCACCCACACACACACCCTCCAGACGCAGTTGCTTGTGTGGACCCTGAAGAGTGTGTAAAGGTGTGTGGTGCAGAGGTGGGCTGTTCCAACATTGCTTTTCCAAAACTGGTCATTGAGCTCATGCCCAGCGGTAATCAGGATCACTTTTTTTTTTTTAATTGTGTATATGTTTGAATTGTTAACATGTACTTTATGTTTTTATAGTCCATGTCGTGGTCTTTTTAGTGTAAATCATGCAATTGTCCATGTGTGTTCCAGGCCTCAGGGGGTTAATGATAGCTGTAATGATGGCCGCTTTAATGTCATCACTGACCTCCATCTTTAACAGCAGTAGCACCCTCTTCACCATGGACATCTGGAAGAAGTATAGAAGAGGTGCTAGCGAGAAGGAGCTGCTGCTGGTTGGCAGGTGTTAATGACTGTGTTTGTTTGCATTATTTGCACGGAACTGTTGCCTATTTGAAATCATCAATCATGACATGCATAAAGGTTACATGTTGTCTAAGATCCAATATCATGGTGTTTTTTTATGCAAAAGCAATTACATGAAAGAATGTAAGAATGATTTATAGCCTCAGAAATGCAATGCACAACCGCAGTATGAGCTAGACATATTGGGGTGGATTAATCATTTAGATTAGCTCATATTTATATCCTGTCATTGGGTTGAGATAAATTTAAATGGAAATAAAAAAACACAAATACTTTATATAACTAGACAATGGAAGAAGACCAGTAGCTAATGGGTTGCAATAGGATAGATTTCGTAGTAGAACTTAACTTTATTAACATATTGACTTTCATTTTCCATATTAAGAACTGTGGTTGAAAGTGAAGATGATCATAAAATCCATGTTGATTTGTCTTCCCAGGATAGTGACCGTTATTTTGGTGGTGATTAGTGTGGTTTGGATCCCAATTCTTCAGAGCGCTAACAGCGGTCAGCTGTATGTTTACATCCAGTCAGTAACCAGCTATCTGGCCCCTCCTGTTACTGCCATTTTTGTAATGGCTGTTTTCTGGAAAAGAACCAATGAGGCGGTAATGCACACACAAACGCATGCATACAACAAACAAACTCTGTCTGAGGTCTCACTTAGACTAAGCACATATTGACATACCAGCATTAACAGTCACATGCATCCGAAGAAACCTCTGCTCTCTCGTGAAGAAGGAATGTCTTGCTATTTTATTTGTAGCAGATTAGTGAGGGCGTGTGTATCTGCCTGTTTAAACACACAAAGAGTGTGTACATGTCTGAATGACAGCAAAAGAGAATGTAACTTTCACTAAGTGATTGAGAAGATAGATACCTGTATTTTACAGAAAATAGGTCACACCTTAATATAAGTCATTATATTGTTGTGTTGTTGAGTCATTATAAATTGTGTTTTTGAAAATGAAAAAAAAAAAACATTGATAAGTCACACCCGTGTGTAAGCTGCATTTTATTTGTACATTCAGTACAACTTTCCAGTTGAGTGTGACAGTGGTGTTCTATTCTGTTTATTAGTACAATAATGTTATAGTGGAAAGAAAATTTAAATAGATTCATAAAATATTATGGATAGAAGGATGGATCGATGGATGGATGGGTGGAAGGATGGACGGATGGATAAAAGATAGATCTGTTTCCTTGAGATATTTGCTGGGAATAAACGGGGTTTAGATTCTTAGAACAAGAGTAACATTGTGTGAGAGTGCATAAAATACAGAACAAGAAAAAAAGACCTTGTGATTCACTCATTTGATTCTGTGAAAAACCCTCCAAACCCGATGTGCTTTGACAAATATGAGTAGAATGAATGTTTTAGAAGGATTGCGGTGTACCAGGCTGATTATCTTGGATGTTTTACTGGATGTTTTTGTTTTACAAAACTGCAGTTTTGACTGCATTAGAGCTTCCGTATCCACCAACATATCTGATCACATTGTCTATAACTTAGCAAAATAATAGCTGTTAAAGCAGCACTATGTAACTTTTGGCGCTCTAGCGGTTAATAAACAGAACTGCACACACCCCGTGGAAGAACATTCCAGTTACATAGTGCTGCTTTAACCGGGCAGTTTAACAAACGAATGAAAACCTGTTGAACAAAACATTTAAGGACTTTAAAACTGAGAGGGTGGGATTT